AATATCCCTCCTACTTGTAAGTAGGGCAGTGAGCTTTTATAAAATCATGTTGTTGTGTTTGTATTTAGTTATGTGGCTCAAAGGATAGCTCAGTGGTTTGAGCATTGGCCTGCTAAACCCAGGATTGTGAGTTCAATCCTTGAGGGGGCCACTTAGGGATCTGGGGCAGAGTCAGTACTTGGTCCTGCTAGTGAAGCAGGGGGCTGGACTCTATGACCTTTCGGGGTCCCTTCCAGTTCTATGAGAGAGGTATATTTCCATATATTATTATATTATATTCTTGAGGAAAAGATTTTAAAACAAGCAAGGTGCACTGATAAGTTGGAGTAATTTCCCATGACAGTCCTTCTGAGGAGCAGACTATTCTTCAGACTTGTTTCATAATAGGCAGTTTTTCCTCAGGATTTAGATTTTTCTAATTAAAATGTAGCCTAAATCATCAGGTTTAATATTTTTAAAAATAATTTAATTCTGAAACCCTTTGTTCTGTTTTTCAGAAGGAACAAAACCCACAAAACCTTCTCCACCTCGTTTTTTAAATGTCAAACTGGTTGGTCTTAGAATGTCATGTAAAGCCTTGTAGGCTACTCCGTTAGTGGCTACAATAAAAACAATTTGTGTAAAGAGACTCTCATTACTCTGGAGAGCAAGCATACCCTGGAAAGATAATGATGAATGAAAACAAATCCTCTCTGCAACTACCATCTTCAGAGGTCTTGTGCCTGGAAAGCAGGAGGGTCCATTGTGTCTCTGAGTGTAGTGAAAAACGTTATTAATCTCAATGTTTTTGTGGCATCTGTACCTTGAGTCGAAGGCTGTCTCACTAAGCATGCACCAGCCTCAGGCATCCCAGAACATTCCAGCTAATTATTTTCTGTTCACTGTCAGCGAAGAAGCTACCTACAGGAGATATCTAATGATTCTAATTGACACAATTTTATTGGTTGTAGCTTCTGTGACGCTGGCTGACCAGGTCATGCTAAAGTATATTCAGGTCAATTCGCTTGTGTAGATCAAAGTAATGGTTACATGTATGAGAGTGGTATTGGGCAGGGGGTTTCAAACTGGGAGTCGGGAGGGGAATTGAACTCAGAGGCTTGCTTTGTGAAATGGGTCACCAGTGCAAAAAGTTTGGGTGTTTAAACTTAATGAAAACTAATGTAACATTCTTTGCATTGTTTTCACTTCTCTGTTCTTGTCATAATGTAATAGCTAACATTTACATTGTAAATACCCCTGTAACTAAATAACTCATCAGACATCAAAGAAGCCTTGGGAATGCTAATGAAGGCCTTTATCAGAAAAGGTGCAAATTCCAAAGAAAATGGGCATTGTGGTGGGGACCTGAGGTCAAAGACTCAAAGTGCATTCCACACTCATCAAAGGAAAAGCCCATGTGGGCAGAGAGACTGTCAGTTTGCTTTCTGTGTAAAGATACTGTAAATATGGATTCAAAGAAAGATCCTTTATATCTGGACTGTTTGGATTCCAATAGGGCAGAATATGTGAACGAGAAGATGGAGATTCCCAGATTATTCTGGGTGACCCAGAAAGACTTTGGGAAACTGGCAGTTTTACATCTCTGCCATCATATGCAGTTACAAACTATGATTTATCTGTTATATTTTACCTGCTTTAACCTCTCATTAACTCTTTTCTTTGCTAATAAATCTTAAGTTAGTTTATTATAGATTTGGTTGCCAGCATTGTCTTTGGTGTAAGATCTGGGATAAGTGACTAGTCCCTTGGGAGAAACCTGATGTGGTGTGATTTTTTTGTTTTAATAACCTTTTATCACAAAGTTCAGTTTGTCTGTGTCAAGGTTCCTTCCCCACTCTGAACTCTAGGGTACAGATGTGGGGACCTGCATGAGAACCTCTAAGCTTAACTACCATCTTAGATCTGGTTTTGCTGCCACCACCCAAATTATTTGAGTCATTTGGGAAACTTTGTTTCTCCCTCCCAAGTACTATAACTGTTCCCTGGGTAGCCTTGAGAGACTTCTCCACCAATTTCCTGGTGAACACCAAGCCAAACCCTTGGATCTTAAAACAAGGAGAAATTACCCATTCCCCCTCCTTTTCCCCACCAATTCCTGGTGAGTCCAGATCCAACCCTCTTGGATCTTAAAACAAGGAAAAATCAATCAGGTTTTTAAAAAGAAGGCTTTTAATTAAAGAAAGAAAGGTAAAAATCATCTCTGTAAAATCAGGATGGAAAATAACTTTACAGGGTAATCAGATATAAAGAGGCCAGAGGAACCCCCTCTAGCCTTAGGTTCAAAGTTACAGCAAACAGGTAAACCCTCTAGCAAAAGGAACATTTACAATTTGAGAAAACGAAGATAAAACTAACATGCCTTGCCTGGCTTTTACTTACAGGTTTGAAATATGAGAGACTTGTTCAGAAAGATTTGGAGAGCATGGATTAATGTCTGGTCCCTCTTAGTCCCAAGAGCGAACAACCCCCAAAACAAAGAGCACCAAAAAAACCCTCCTTCCCACCAAGATTTGAAAGCATTTTTGATCAGAGATTTTTGGTAGCAGTGTCTGTTTGGCCTGCACATGTCCCCACACATCTTTGTGCACCGCACCAAGGCTGTATAGGGCTGCGCAGGTGAACTGGCCTCAGCTCCTCCACTGCAAAGTCCCACAAGGGAGACACTGAAGCAGAGCAGAAGGAGAGCAGGTAGTGGAGCACCCACAGAGACATGAATATCAAAGAAGTCCAGTTACTGCAGAGGTAAGTAACTGCTCCTTTGAGTAGTGTCACTGTGGGTGCTTCATATCAGGTGACTCCCGAGCAGTACCCACCTAAGGAGGTGGAAGGTTCAGAGCAGTGTTCAGAAGAGAGAACTGCATTGCCTGCAGCAGCATCTGATCTTGCCACAGCTACCAACACATAACTAGCAAAAGCATGAACAGAGGACCGAATTGGCACTCTACAGATGTCTGTAATTGATATTCCCTTAAGTAAGGTTATAGATGCAGACAGTGCTATTGTAGAATGCTATTACTCTCAAACCCCAGGTTCTGTTGTAACCGATCTAAATACAACTGGACATGCCCTATAACCTTTTGTTTCAAAATTACTGAACCCTTGTTTCTGTCTGCAATGGATACAAATAGTCTAGGAGAGCTTCTAAATGGGTTGTTCCTATCTAGGCAAAAGGCTAATGCCCTCTTGACATCTAGGGAATAGAACACGGCTTCTTGACTAGTCCAATGTTGGTTTTTTTGGGGGGTGGGCAAAGAAAAGAACATGAAATTCTGGGGACACCTTAGCTAAAAATCTTGGATAGGCCCACAGCAACACCTACTCTGTGGTGAATACTACAAATGCAGGGGTCTGACATTAAAGCCCCCAATTCTCCACTTCTAGCTTCCAGTTCTCCAACCCTTTGGGTAGAAGTGATGCCTATCCAGAAGGCTATCTTCATTGATAAATCTATTAAAGACCATGTAGCTAGTGGCTCAAAAGGAAGTTTCATAAGGCAATTAAGGACTAGGTTCAGGTCCCAGCTAGGAGTAGGGTCTCTGATCTATGGGAAGTGATTTGACAAACCTCTTAGGAATCTTGCCATAGTTGGGCGAGGGAAGAGTGGAAAAACCTCATACGGGTGTGAAGAGCTGTTATTGCCACTAAGTGAACCCTAATGAAATTCGTAGAAAGACCCAATGTTTTCAATTCCAATAGGTAACCCAATACCGTAGGAAGAGGAGAGTGAGTCAGCAAAATCTGGTAACTGCTACACCAAAGATGATAATGTTTGCATTTCAGGAGATATTTCTTGTAGATTCTTTTCTACTGTTTCATAAAACGTGTTGTACCTCTGACAAACAAGATATCTCTAGTCCTGACAACTGTTGAGGAACCATGCTTGGAGCCTGAGAATATGTAGGTTGGGGTGACATATTCGACTGGCATCTTGAATCAGTAAAAGAGGACTGATCAGAAGACGTCACCGAGGGCGAGAAGAGAATCCGATTAGATAGGACACCAAACTCGTCCTGGCCATGTTGGTGCAATCAGTAGTACTCTGGCCAATTCTTGTTTGATCTTGTTGAGAACCTTTAACAGTAATGGTGTCAGTGGATACACATACAAAGACCCTTCATCCATGAGATGAGAAAAGCAACTCCTAGGGATTGGGGTCAAGACCCCCTCTTGAACAATACCTGATGCATTTTGGTCAGGTCCTTCCATCACTTGAGTGACTGTAGAACCCACTGGAGAACAGACGGTAACCTGCCTACCCTACCTTTGCTAAGTTTGAAAACGGTTCAAAGCTATCCTTGTAGACCTCAGAGATGCAATCTGGCATGCTGTACTGCAAAGACACAAGCTGACATGTGTCCCAGCAGTTTAAGACATCTCTGTTACTTGAGGACTGCCCTGAATATTGGTGATGAGATTTGCTAGTGCAAGAAATCTGCTGGAAGGAAAGCACTCTGCTTCTTCAGACTCTCCAACAGAAATGGACATGTTCTTTTCCTATTGACTGGAATGGAAGCCTAACAGCATAAAGGAGACTCGATAGGCACACAGTTTATAGAAATGTATTTACCTGAGCAATTTATTAGTGATGGGAATGTTTCCAGGTAATGTTTTCTGGGTTAATCACATGTACAAATCCATTTTACAGATTGGGAACAATTTTGCTCTTCCTTACAGAAACCATTTCAGTAATAATATTGAGAAGGTAAGTGAAAGGTTGAGAGGATGAGGAAAGGGAAGATGTTTTCATTGTAGATAACATAATTACTGTATTGTCAACTGAGTCTTTTGCATCTTGCCTCTAGGTCAGATCTCTCTCTCTCTCTCTCACACTCACACACACACACACACACACACACGATGTTTGACAGGTGGCGATGTGATTTTTTTTTTAATGAAAGTTTGCAGTTGATCAGAACAAAACACTGTGTGGTTTACAAAGACGAGCAGAATTCTTTTAGCTTTGAAAGTCACTGTATCTACTCTTTATTTTGTTTCTTCAGGCTACTGAAGAGGTTTCGAAAAATCTGGTTGCCATGAAGGAAATATTATATGGCACAAATGAAAAAGAGCCACAAACAGAAGCTGTGGCACAGCTTGCTCAAGAACTTTACAACAGTGGTCTTCTTAGCACCCTAGTAGCTGACTTACAACTGATTGATTTTGAGGTAAGAAAATACACCTCTATCTCGATATAACGCTGTCCTCGGGAGCCAAAATATCTTACCGCGTTATAGGTGAAACCGCGTTAGCCCCGGCCCCCCCGGAGCACTGCTTTACCCCATTATATCCGAATTCGTGTTCTATTGGGTCGCGTTATATCAAGGTAGCAGTGTAGTTACAAAACTTCATGAGCCACACACATGGTAAGTTGCATTCTGACCATCAGAATTCCTATTTAATTGAAGTAAGAGGTTCACTTCCTAGCTACACAATTTTTATTTTTCAATGCTGCTAATGATAGCAATTGTATTTTAAGATTTAATTAGGAAACATTAATACGCACTACTTGGTAAATTAACCAGATGCGTGAGATTAAATTTCTGAGGAGTTTGGAAGGATAGATCACATAAAAAATGAAAAGTAGATGAATAGCTCAAATCTTTATCCCAGAACTCTAACAGAGGTGTTGCTTAATCTTTAATGTAATTTAATTGCTGTGTTCAGAGAGAGATTAAAATCCTAGATTGTATTAATGCCATAATGCCCATAGTCTTATTTAAATCCCTTTTGAGTTATTACAGTATAATACTGAGTCATCTGACTATTCTCATTAAAAAGTTTTAATGCTGCCACTAATTAGCCATTTTTAAATCTTTAATACTCTTCTCCCTATAGGAAACAAAAGTATATTGTTTTACAGTCTCCCTAATCATTTTTCTGTTTAGACAGGAAAGTCAGATTTTATTGATCACTCCAAAATATGAACATTAATTTTATCTTTCTGTAAGTTTTCATTTGTTGCTCAACAGTATTTATTTGAGTACTTCATACATAGTAATTAATATGTCTTCACAACACCACTCTGAGGTGTGGAAGTATTATCATCATCCTCATTTTATGGCTAGGGAACTGGGGCACAGTCCGAGTTAGGGCTTGTCTATGTGGTAGCGCAGTGTGGACTATGGGATGTGAATTGTAGAGTGCACAAATGTGTTGTGCTCTGACTGCTCCATGTAGACCCTTCTGGTGACACACCCACGTCCCTCTGCTATGTAGACAAGCCCATAGTAACTTTCCTACAAGTTGCATAAGAAGTCTATGGCAGAGCTAGAAACAGAGCCCAGAATTCTGTGTCTTGACTAGGCTATCCTGCTAATTAAGGTTGCTATAAAATTGCACTCTTCATAAAAAAGTTGGCCATGAAGCAAACACAACAGTCTAAAGGGATGTTGTAGTGTTACATTCCAGAATTAAGTTAACTTTCTTCCCCAACCCCCCAGAATATTGTTTGATTCTGTTACCATTTGGTCCTTTGTAGCTGGCAGACACTGAATTTCCTATAAGGTACGTTCCAGAGTAGATTAATCCAGAGACAAAACTGAACATGTCCTACAGAAACCTGAACCCGAGTTTTCAAGCTATAAGAGTCTGCAAGTGATTGTTTTAAAAGTGACTTGTCAGTGTTTCTAAAAAGAAAAGGCTTAACTAGAAATTGTACCCCATAAAAAAGGGTTTTGAAAATAAAAACTGATGGAAATTTTTTTTCTCACCACATACATGTCTTTATATAACAAAAACCCAAGGAAATTCAGAGTGAAAGCAATTGAGATGGTCCCTGCTTATTGAGGATAAGATGCTGAGAAATTAAATCTGGATTCTGCTGACTTTCAAGATCTTTATCAGTCCAGTTTTTAGTCTTTCTGGTTATTTGGGAAGCATTCTTCTGGTGATGGAAAATGGTGGTGGACAAATTGATTTTATTAGATCTATAATGGCATGGAATTGCGTAGGATTGTTCTGTATCAAAGGTAGCTGTACATTTCAGTCTGAAGGGGCTGCTGATTGTTGGTAATAGCCTTCTATTTTTGGACTCTCAACTGCTCTGTTACCTGAGAAGGATGTGGCTTTTCCTTGCTGAGATGAATATTAGCGAGACAAGGTGGGTGAGGTAATACCTGTTATTGGACCAACTTTTGTTGGTGAGAGAGACAAGCTTTCCAGAGCTCTTTTTCAGGTCATGTTAAGAGCCATTCATCTTGGACTAAAGCAATGCTCTTTAATGCAGAATGTGGCAATTTGCTTACCTAATGTTGTGGGCTGATGTCAGCACACCTGTGCACCACACCTGCACTAACTTTCCATCAGTTACTGAGCACAATTCAAGATCTTGGTTTTAATCTTTTAAGCCCTGTGTGGCTTGGACCTTACTATTTTTTGAGACAACTATGTCCAGAGCTGAAAACAGATGAGATGCTTTTGCTGATGTTTCTTTGCTCCTTCTAGTGGTATGACAGAACCTGAAGTCGTTTGTGCGTGGATCAGTGCACATTTTTGACTAAGTATTTGTTTGACTATGGATCGTTCCTGAGGGAGTTATCTTTATAAATTGGGATGATAGAGATTTTTTTTCTGACTGTTGTACTCTGTCTATAATCGATTTGAATCTAAATACCACGGTGATGGACCCCCTAACGTAAATGAAATTATTTTAGGTCCTCATTAAGAAATTGCCCTGAAACATCCAATCCTTACTCTAATATTAACATTTGTTTGGAATTGTGTCTGTATGTAGAAACATTTTTTTCATGTAAGGCAATCAACAAAACTGTTCAAAGAGCAATAACTTGTCAATCAGTTTCCTGCTGACTTGTAATAAAGTACCTTTCAGTTGGAGTAATTGCAGCCTTTGAAAAGTTTTAAAAAAAAAGAGAGAAACACAAAACAAAAAACCTTTTTGCATCAGGGAGGTAGAATCTGACAATGCTGGCACACTTTTACACTTCACCTCTGAGAATCATGACTGTTGGCATGAGAATTTGTATGTGTCCTTGTTAAATAGACCATTACATCACTTGGAAGTAATAGATGCTTCTAACAATAACTAGATTTGGAATTACTGTGTACCACCACCAGCTCAATTATATGAATAAAGAGGGGGAGCTGTTGCTGTCGGTAAATAGGGGGAATAATGAGATTCTGGGCAAAATTGTCAGTGTTAGTGGATGAGACTTGATGGCTATATTTCTCAAAACACTGCTCTACTCATTACCAGAACAAAGGGTTCTGATGCTGCTTTGGGCAGGCTTTCAATAGAATTATAAATCAGAAAACAAGCATTTACAAAACAAACTAACACTTATATCCGGACAACAATACTGCAGCAAACTCTCCATGCTAATTAACAAACAAAAATGTCATTTTTTAAAGACTATGATCTTCCTAGGATTTTCTAAAAAATTGGTTTATTTTTTACTCATGCAGCATCCATTGTCACAGCGTCAGGAGTCCAATACTATAATTAATACAAATCTAAAATAATAAGCTATCATTCTGTCATATTTGTTGGAAGTCTCCATAAAGTGTAAAGTCTATTTCTTTACCTTAAAACTTGCTACACACTGATTCAGATGGTGCCAGAATAAGTTTATTCCACAAACAAGGTTCATCAATAATAATGGTTTGCTTCTGGTCTCAGATTATAAAATTCAAATAACCATGATTAAAGTTTCTTAACAGATCTTTACTGCCAGGTCAGGACCTGTAGCTAGATCCTGTTCTGCCCAAGGTGGTAACCAGCTCCTTGAGCTGCATATAGAAACAAATAACTTCCAAGTCCTCTTCAAGGGTAATTCCAAGTAATGTTCGCACGCACTATTAGGCACTCCTGCTAACTGGCCCGAAGTAATGATAAACTGAGTATGATTCCAAAGATACAAGCAGTATTGGCAAATGGTAGATATATGCATCCAATATGGGGTGCATGCAGAGCTCCTGTCTTTCCAGTACTTACAGCTATCAACCAGCTTCATTTAAGATAATCTAGGTTGAATTTGAGCATAGTGCTCTTACCCATATCCACACTTCTATCAAGTATTGAGAAAACTGGGGGACTGTGGTATCCTAGATCATATGATATGAGGAATATGCCTTTGTTATACTTACCTTTGACTTTAATTATAATTGTTGTTGTTTTCCATCATAAAATGAAAACACACAATAAAAAAATTGTAAATTGGAGTGCAGTCTGCATGTTGTTGGTACAGCAGCCCAAGATGTGTCTCAGTCTTCCCTAGTAGAAGGACCTGAATACATGCACATTGAAAATGAGAGATGACAGAGTGGAACATTGAAATATTCCATCTTACTCAGGACTGTGGCATTGTTAAAAATAGGCATAGTATTAACATAATTTTGGTACAAAATGAATCCAGAGAAGCTCTAGGAATATCAGATAAAATATAAAAGGGTTTTATTGTTTTAAACATCAGTAGGTTATTCAAGCTATCCAAATGTAAGTTGATACAATGATGTATTGAATGCTGTGACAGATTTGAAATGGGTGTAGAGAAACAAAGTATTTGGGGAATTTTTTTGTGAAATGGTCATGTTTAAGTGTATGTATATTAATGTATGTATTAACTCTTGCTATACATTCTGGTACTAAATGTTATATGCTTAATTGGTTACGTTTTTGACAGGGCAAAAAAGATGTCGCTCAAATTTTCAACAACATTCTCAGAAGGCAAATTGGTACAAGAACTCCCACAGTGGAATACATCTGCACTCAACAAAATATATTGTTCATGTTATTAAAAGGGTATGTACAGTATTTGGTGTAAATAGTTTTATATGAAGTATTGGAATGTTTTTTTCAGGTAAAAGGATAGTGAGAGTGGTGAAATGTCCCTTCTTCCTTTGCAATTTGTTTAAATAATTTTGCCACAGGGCCTGTAACTTCCCTTAAAGTAACTTAAGTCAAATGGATAATTTAAGCAATAGAATATCAAAATATGAATCCTTTAATGTGAAGGGTGACAGGGTGAGAATTGAAAACTAATACTGCGCTAAAAACATTCTTGTTGGGGTAATGTAATGTTCCTTTTCACTGAACTTACTTCATTGTCCAGAATTTAAACTGTTATTCCTGATCTTAGTTATTTACCGAGTGTTCGAATGATTGTTCTAACCTCTGGCTAAATGAACTTGCTGTCCCATCCTCTGAGTTACTGTGCAGCTCCTGCTTCATAGTTATTGGGTAATACAACTACAGAGACATCAAGAAGCTCCAACTTTTCTAGATATGATTGTGTATTCACTGCATGCCAGATTGCTGTTTCCACCTCTATTCTTGTATTACCTGTGTTGTTACATCAGAGAATCATGCCATATCAATTATGCTGTAGCAAGTCTGCAGCTGCATACCAAAATTCGTGAAAACAAATTTAAGTAAAAAGCCTTTTGTTTTTTAAATTAGGGAACAAACATCCCCCCAACCTCAAAATGGACTGTTACATTTCTATTATTCTGTGCCATGAATAACAGAAAATATTAGAGGTTGCAATCCAATTTTATCATTTTGGGGTGGGAAAGTTCACTAATGTCTTGTTAACATTTTAAAAATGGTTTTATGCATTTCAAACACTAATTTTATATCAGTAGCTGTAGCATGTATACTGATGGATATTGTTCAAATAAGCTCTCATACATCATGATGTACAGTATACTCCTGATTATCCAAATAGACTGAGGGACACAGATTTTATTTGGATAATTGAGTGTTCGGATAATCAGGATAGCAGGAACCGTTCAGCCATTGAGCAGTGGGGTTCCCTCCTCCACAACGGGGGCTCGTCTTGCTCCTCACAGTACTGGCCAGAGGTCTCTGCTCTATTTTACAAATCTCCACGTTAGCCGAATCCCTTCCTTGTTCCCCAGCATGAGATACGTGCTGCAGACGGCACGTATCTCATGCTCAGGGACAAGAAAGGGATTTGGATAATGAGGTTTGGGTCAATGGGGGTATACTGTAGTTGTACTCAAATGCTACAGTGATTGGCATGGTATAAGATTCTATAGAAATGATAAAGAATTAGATTAAATAGTTAATCCCTTGGAATAGCTGTTTGCCACATCATGACGACAGTAATAAGATGTTAAAATAACAGGTTTTGTTTTCTGGATGTTTAAACAAAAGATCTGCTCTTTAGTTTTTCCTCAAAGTTTTTGCATTACATAGTAATTAGAGATGTTGCCAAGTCTGAAACCTACCAAATGTGTGGTATCATGCTTATGTCACATTGTCTCTTCATTCTTTTTATCTGTGCCACTTGTCTGAGCCAGCAGAGTATTGATACATATAGAAAAATTGTTTTACAACAAGAGCAGGAACTTGCACATTTTAATCCCTGGCTTCCTCATGAACACTAAGAACCCCCTAGCAGTCTAGAGGAGCAACAAAATGTATCTTTGCAAGTGTAAAGAAATCCAGTGTTCCACAGAGTACTTTTAATTTTTCCTATTCTACAGTCTCATTTTGACAGAACCCAAGATATCTGAAAGATTCAAAGGGCAAGATTATTATTAACCATCGTATAATATAAAAGTAAGAACAAATGAATGATACTAAATTCTTATATGTGCTTTCTCAAAGTGCTTTACAAAGGAAGGCATAGAAACTGAGGCACAGAGAGGTGAAATAACTTCCCCAAACTGTCAGACTGGTCAGTGGCAGAATCTTCTCCTAACTTCAAGTCCAGGATCGTGTTCAGTGGACCACATTCCTGATTTTTAGTACAGCATAACCTAGGACAGCCACCATGAAACATTTTTGTGTGTGCATGAATAAAAATGTTTGAAATAGATGTTGGTTTTAATTTATAGAAGTACTTACTGATCTGTTGTATGTCTTACATATGATGCATCTGGTATAGCCAAATTTACATAATTTTAAGATATTACGGTGAATGTGAACCAACCATTAGGATCTAGGCTTTGAAAAGGTATATGATTTGCCAGAATCCTGTTGATTTAAATATGTGGAGCTACAAGAGACCCATAGATTTCAGGTGACGTTACTTTCAAATTTTGATCGTGTACTTGCAGTGTAAATGCTTATTCTTTTGACCACGTGGAACAGTCTGTTTGTTCACTTATGAAGTTCACCTAAAAAGTCATACTCAGTATTCCATATAAAATGAACAAGTTTGGCAGTATACTGGGAGTTGTGAATTGTCCATACCACTAGAGGGCAAACTTCTGCTGTCCCAACCTGCAGAGCACCTACTGCACATTTAGAAAAGCCTGCTATGAGTCATGTTCCACCTGCAGTTATGAGAAGAGGGCATTGATTTTGAGTCTGAACATAAAGTTATGTTTCTTATGCTCCCATTGTATACAAGTGATTCATACAAGCAACAGATTGATCATCTGATTTTGGTAGTGTTTCGTAGAACATCTGAAAGTGGAACTTAATATGCAGATAAATGCCTTTTAATTATTGAAATGTTTAAGTTGACTTGATAACATAATATAGCGTATTGTTAATTATATATAAAGTTGCAGTACTACAGTACCACATTTTAAAGGTATTTATATAGACTTCTCATTTTGCAGGTACGAATCTCCAGAAATTGCTCTAAATTGTGGAATAATGTTAAGAGAATGCATTAGACATGAACCACTTGCTAAAATAATCTTGTGGTCAGAACAGTTCTATGATTTCTTCAGATATGTGGAAATGTCAACGTTTGACATTGCTTCAGATGCGTTTGCCACATTCAAGGTAACTTGCATACCATATCTAAATAGTTACAATAGCATACATTTCTCCAGCATCTCAAATATATAATCCCAAATGTCAGGTGTTAGTCACATATGGAGTCAGCATATGGAGACAGAGAACAAAGTTTGTGACACTCTCTGTAAAGGAGCTGGATCAATTGAACATTGCTTCCTTCTAAGCACATGGCAATTAAGATATTGCTTCAGATACATGTGCTATGTTCAGGGTAACATTTATTCCAGAACTAAAATTTAATATTTTACTTAGATTGTAAACTCTTCAAGGCAGGGAGGGACTGTCTTTGTGTAGTGCCTTGCATGATTGGTGCTGATTCATGATTGGGACATCTAGGTGCTAACACTGTACAAATAATGAGTAGTGTAAGTGGACCCTTTGGTGCTGTAGGGCTCTGGTGATATAGTAGCTTATGTGTCATTCCTGTTGCAGAGAGTAGGCCTGGGTTTCCCTGTGCCCCAGTGATCCAAGCAGCTGTATCTTGGAGCTGTTGGAAGCCAACACAAGTTAAAAGAGCCTTCAAGTTGCTCTGATTTCTCTGAGAACCAGTACAGCATATAGCAGACCCCTTCCTAAGTTATGCTATGAGTTTTCACAGCCACAATCAAGAATCTACACCAATATTCCAACTTTTTTTCTTTATTTCCATAGTATATCAAAATCCTTCATTGGATTAATTAGACTCTTCAGAGGCATCCAGAATGAATATTTATTATTTTAATAAATACTTTTTTTTTAATCTGAAAATATTGCTTAAACATGACATACTTTTTCAGGATTTACTTACAAGACACAAGTTGCTGAGTGCAGAATTTTTGGAACAGCATTATGATAGGGTGAGTAAATATAATTCCTCAGAACTTTTTGATGATTGATACAGAATAATTTTCATTTGACTGAAAAAGTTAAAATACTTTTTCATTCTTTGTATCGTATTGCTTGGATTCTTAGTTAAGAATTACCAAGGACAGTTTATGTATTGCATTAATCAAAGTTAGGTTTGCATATTTTTGTACCATAGTGTTTTTAAAATAGAAATTTGTTTTAAAATTCTCAGCATTTCAACATCAAAAACTTAAACTGAGATTTTGAAAAGATGAAAATCTAGCTTTGTGAAAATGCATTTTCCACTAGAGGGAACCTTTTCCCATTTTTTCTGTTGTCTATATGAGGCCTTAGTCACAAAGGTATGTTTGATAGTTTTGCTCCATCTGCTGGCCAATTCTGATATTAATAAAAGCTTAAATCATTTCATAGTCTACAAAATTTTATTGCTTAAAGAATAACTTCCTTCATTATATGGTAGTCCAAATATTTAAAGTTCCCAAAATAGCAAAGAAATTAAGTTTTTAAAAAGCTTGTTAGAATGTTAAACACCTGTAATGTAATACTGCAAACCTTGTTTCAGTAGAATTCTAAGTTTTTATTTACATACCTATTAAAGATCCCCCCAGTTAAATAAATTCATTCAGAAGCAGGGCTTGTGCCACTTGGAAAGTTCCTGATTTTTCTCTTCATTCTCCATTCAGTTCTTCAGTGAGTATGAGAAGTTACTTCATTCAGAAAATTATGTGACGAAAAGGCAGTCACTTAAGGTAAGGTAGTTTTACTTTGAGTGCCCTTTTTTTCTCCAAGGGGGAGGGATAGCTTTGTGGTTTGAGCGTTGGCCTGCTAAACCCAGGGTTGTGAGTTCAATCCTTGAGGGGATCATTTAGGGAATCGGGGGCAAAAATCTGTCTGGAGATTGGCCCTGCTTTTGAGCAGGGGGTTGGACTAGATGACCTCCTGAGGTCCCTTCCAACCCTGACATTCTATGATAATTTCAGGGTGAATTGATTTAAATCACAATGACTTAAATAACTGGTTTGAATCGCAATTTAAAACAGTAAAAATAGTTGATGTCAATAACTATTTTAATAAGATTTTATTTGTGGACTTGCCAAAGAGTTTATTTTCATCACTTGGGAGCATGGTTGAATCAAAGCAATCTGGGGCGCACAGCAACACAGGGGCCCCTGTGCCACACCCTTGCAGCATCGCCCTATCTTCCACTTGGAGTGATGGTGGCTGGGTTAGGGCTGCAGGGGTGGAGCCCAAGGGAAGCAGGGACAACAGGCAGAACCAAAGAGGCTGGAGCAGTGGTAGGGGGCTCCCATTTCCCCCCAGATGTGGCAGTAGGGGCTCCCTTACCTATCCCAGAGGCACAGATTTAGTAGCAGTGGGGCTCCCCCAGTATTTACCCCACAAATAGGCATGGATGTATCTGTACAGAGTGATATGTCTTGACTGGAAATTTTGTAGCTAGAGACAACTGTCAGCCAGCTGTCTCCAAACACAGTTCTCCCGTTTGAGGATGCAAAAGAGATCTTTCATTGGTTCTTATGAAGACTGGCTATTATTCAAGCTTCTTATATTGCAGAAACTCCCAAAGGTCTAAATGGGATGAGGGCCCCATTGTGATAAAGCACTGTACAAACACACACGAAGACCGTGCATGTACCAAAGAGCTTACAGTCAGGGTATTGGGTGAAACTGTCCAAGGAATGATTTAGACTGGTCTGTGCACAGTTTTTACACTGGTATAATATATATCATCGGGGTGTGATTTTTATAAAGATGTAGTACCAGTAAAGCAATGTGGATGCCGTTACACTGATGTGAAGGTGCCTAAGCCTTATACTGGTACAGTTTATCCCCTTTTCCGTGAGGGAATAGTTGTACCAGCATAAGCACTGATTAGTCTTAGACTTATTTCCGCAAAACTCAGGGCCCAGGTACATAATTTAATAAAATACACTTAAATAGATATAATTGGTAACCACAGCAACAGCAGCATAGATATCTATTAAACATCCGTGCTGGTCAGCTGTGGGATGTGTTAATTTTTCATGGGGAAGTATGAGGTTGGAGTGAAGGTATTGCACAGTTGTCAGGAATCAGTTACAAGTGCGTGTTGGAGGTGTATGGGACTTATAGATGGGTGAGTGCAGTGTGTGGGGATTGATATTTTAAAGAAAGACACGTTAACTGGACACACCTGCTTGCTTCTAAGTGTTTGAGTTGGCATAGGTGCGGGAACTAGGAGTGCCGGGGGTGCTGCAGCACCCCCAAGTTTTATGTGGGGTCCCAGCTGTTGGTTCTGCGCCCGGGACTTCACTCCCCAGCCACCCTCCTGGGGCCCTGCGCCCAGGGCTTGGGTCCCTGTCCCTGTGCCTGGGGCCCCGTCTGCTAGCTCCCTGTTCCTGGGGTCCCATCTGCTGACTCCACTCCCAGGCTCCCGCTCCCAGCCCCGTAGCAGGGGCTCTACTCTCGGGGCCCCGGCTGCCAGCCCCACGCCCGGGACTCCACTTCTGGCCCCACATGCGGGGTCCCAGATGCCCTTCTGTGGCCCCAGCCTTGGTCCCTTAGCCCTGGCCAGATCCCCGCTCCCAGAGACATGGCCCTGCTCCCGGCCCCAACTCTGGAGGGTGGGGCAGCATAGATAGGAATAAAGGGGGGCATGAGGTAAAAAATAAAAACTTCTTTCAGCACCCCCACTATTAAGTGTTCCAGCACGACTGTGAGTAGGGGGGTTTCCTGTTAAGCAACCATAACTGTTTTTTATTTTTTCCTCTTTTGGAATTTTCTTTTCTTTTATTTTTTAACTGTGTATGGTGTTAGTAGATTATAAGAGACAAGTTCCTTTTCCCCCACAATGTTGTTATAAATGCTTGCATGTTTGGGTGGTAATTTCAGTATGTATAGAAGGTCAAGTCAGTGTTTTCATTTTGTAATCGTTTTACTAGAGAATTTTTAATATTTTCTGAGTGGTAAAAAGAACAGATGTAGTAAAAAAGATCAATTTCCGAAGATTAAGTGTGCATTGGGAACCTCAAAAGTGTAACAAAGGACTAAAGGGGTCCATTTCATCACACACTAATATAATTGTCATAGTGCTAATTACTGTTTATATTGTTTCATTTTCTTTTTATTTTAGGTTAAAGTTTGCTTTTTTAAAAAGCAAACGTAACCTTTTAAATTAAGACGATGCAAAAATAGCCAAAGACTGTAACCACCTGAAAAGTACCTACCCAACATCACGATGCAGGGATGGTAGAGCCATGGATTGAGCCTGGTTCCTCCTATATTCCAGTCCCAATGCCTTAACCACAAAACCATGATGTACAGTCTCAGGTTTTATAATTAAAGACTCTTCTGTCTGTGTCAGTGCTTTGTAGAGATGGCCATGTAGGGATAATCCTGTTTTACAGACGGCAGAGCCAAGAACACAGATTTGGCCCGATCTTTGTGCAAAGTAGCATGGCTACATGGATGACTCTTTTATAGCTGTTATAGTAGAGATTGAGCTTTTATTACCACCTCTGGTAGAAATGGTCTTGTGCAACCTCTCAGATCCTCTCTTACCTCATTTATAAAATTGGGAGGGAGGATGATACCTTGACTGTGGGTAGCTGACTTCTGACAACATCGAATTATCCGTTTCAGCTACCAGACATGTTGAGCATAGATATGGTACAGTAGCTAGTTATCACCTAGCAAAGGGCATTCGTTATGGGGGTACTGAGAGCTCCTTCTGCTGACATAGCACTGTCCACATCAGCACTTTTGTCAGTGAAACTTGTGATGGTCAGAGGGTGTGTTTTTTCACTCCCCTGACCAACAAAAGTTTTACCAACAAAAGTGGTAGTGGAATCACAGGCTAAGGGGAAACAGAAAGGTAGGCAGTTTTTCAGCCAGGCTGAGAGAGAGAATGGAAAAACCACATCAAAATACCCTGGACTGGGAGTCAGGAGAACCATGAGTTTGTTACACCTCTTTTATTGACAGATGTCAATTACTCAATGTGCTTCACAACCTGTATGATAAAAATTGTATTTGAACTCATAAAATTTCAGTAATACTTCATTGTTCTGTCACATTTTTCCACCCTTAGTTGCTTGGTGAATTGCTATTGGACAGACACAACTTTACAATTATGACAAAATACATCAGTAAACCTGAAAATCTGAAATTAATGATGAACCTTCTACGAGACAAGAGTCGCAACATTCAGTTTGAGGCCTTTCATGTCTTTAAGGTATGGTACCAAAAATCATAAAACCATTGAATAGCTTCTGTAGTGTGCCTCATTTACACAGGTAGTGAGGTTAGTCGATAATGATGACAAACCTCAGATCTGTCTGCTCTGAAAAATTACTTGATTCTTTCTTTTGCTGAAAAGTACTTATTCAGGAAATGCTAAATGGTTTTGTATGGTTATTGTTAGCATAACCTTCCTCTTCTAAAATTCTGTATGAACTGAGAATGATGAAGGGGATGAATGCATGCTGTGGTTTCTGAGCATATCTCGACATCATTCTGAGAATTCTAAACAGGTCTGTGTCATGCTACAGAGTACTATGGAGGATACGTGTAGTATTTCAAATGAACTAATCAGTTTTGAAAACTCTAAATCAGGGTTGTCTGTTAAAACAAGTTACACTTTTTATTAATAGTAGACATAAACTAATGGTTAGTAATAGGTTGGGGACTTAGCTCCATTCAGGAATAACCCTGCAGAAAGGTTTTAAACCATCTCTAGTCTCTCTAACGATGATGCTAGATACATAAAATCGTGCACTTGCTACAGAACTCAATCCTATGAGGTGCTGAGTGCCTCCTGCAGGATGTCATGACCAGGCAGCTCCCATTAACTTCAGAATTCGGCCCTCAGTCTCTACCTCAATAACAACATATAAAACTGGTTTTCATTTCAGATTAATCTTCTCAGATATTCCAATTGTTTTTTTCATGTGCAGATATTTAGGAGAGAAAACATTCATAATTTTAAACTTGGGCTGTCAATCGCAGTTAACTCAAGTGATGAGCCCAAAACAAATTAACTAGATTTTAAAAAGTCACAACTAATCAGTTTTAATTGCACTGTTAAACAATAATAGAGTACCAACTTAAATTTATTATCAGTATTTTTGGATTCTGCATTTTAAACATATTGATTTCAATTACAACACAAATACAAAGTGTACAGTGCTCCCTTTTTTTATTACATTTTCACTGTAAAAAAATGAACAAAATATAGTATTTTTCAGTTCAACTCATGCAAGTACTGTAGTGCAATCTTTTTATTGTGAAGGTGTAACTTACAAATGTAGAATTATTATTTCTTACGTAATTTCATTAAAAACTAAAATAATATAAAACTTTAGAACCTACAAGTCCACTCAGTCCTACTTCTTGTTCAGCCAATCGTTAAGACAAACAAGTTTATTTATATTAACGGGAGATAATGCTGCCTACTTACTTACAATGTCACCTGAAAGTGAGAACAGGCGTTTGTATGGCATTGTTGTTGTAGCTGGCTTTGCAAGGTATTTACGTTCCAGATATGCTAAACATTCACATGCTCCTTCATACTTTGACTTGTAGGCTTTAAAGTTTGACATAGTTTTGTTTTTGAGTGCAGGTATATAAAAAACAACAATAATAATTTTACATTTGTAAGTTGCACCTTCACAATAAAAAGATTGCACTACAGTACTTGTCTGAGGTGAACTGAAAAATACTATCTTTGTCGTTTTACCGTACAAATATCTGTAATAAAAAATATAAAATGTGCTGTACACCTTGTATTCTGTTTTGTAATTGAAATCAGTATATTTGAAAATGTAGAAAAACATCCAAAAATATTTATAATGTATTTAAATTGGTATTCTATTATTAACAGTGAAATTAAAACTGATTAATTGTAACTATTTTTTAATCTTGTGACTAATTGCAATTAGTTTTTTAATCATTTGACAGCCTTATTTTAAACCATTATCATCTCACTTTTTATTAGTTAAGTATAATTTTAACTGAGCCTTCTGTTTCCTGTATCTGTGCTAAAATCCCTCTTCTTTTGTTGCAGGTGTTTGTAGCCAATCCTAACAAGACACAGCCTATATTAGATATCCTCTTAAAGAACCAGACCAAACTTATTGAGTTCCTCAGCAAGTTTCAGAATGACAGGACCGAGGACGAACAATTTAATGATGAGAAGACCTATTTAGTTAAACAGATCAGGGATTTGAAGAGACCAGCACAGCAAGAAGCTTAATCTCCAATAAACCCCTAAAATATTAAACCCAAATTCCGCATTTGCTGTTAGATATTCAGCATCAGGCACTCTTATCAATTCATGAGGAACATTACTGCTAATCTGCTGTTCAGTGAACGGTTTTTGTTTTCTCTCTTCTTTTTTAGTCCAAGTTGAAAAACTAGCTGCTGCTTTCTTGCACAATGTGGACTTTCTTGATATTTGTGTCATTTCAGAATTCAAAGACACTGCTTATTTTAGGAGTCCTGGGGGAAAAAAGATACTAGATTCATGAAAGCAAACATAGATGATAGTTTGGTTTAGGAAAGAAGGTATTAATGTAGTTAAGCAACAGGTTGCATGCTTGCAAATCTGATTAAATCGTATGTTTGCACGTACGTTGTTTGAGATATGAGCACAATGTGACCTGTGCATACATGGCACCATAATATAAAATTGTATGCCTTGATTAAAAAAAAAAGTGCAGTGCTTTACTTGTAATCAAAGGGGAAATGTATCTAAGATGTGAGCTTATTGGGATAAACAGTTGTCTTGCAAATAAACTCAATTTAGCAACTTTTAAAAGAGTGAAATCTTGAGGTTCATAAGGAAATGTATATAATATGCCTTTCACTGCTTTATAGATTTTTTTTGACATATGATTTTCTGAGAATTGAGTTGTAAACTTGGAAATATGTTCTAAGGGTTTTGTTAATTTTACTTTGAAGGTATTTCAAACAGTAGAGCTAGCAGTGACACTTCGCATTTCATTTCAACAATGCTTGCTGGTTTCTTTTGTATATAACTCCTAGGCTGCTCATTTCTTTAAAAATATGATTTAATTTGTACAGCAGAGGAATGTTATTGTATTAGTCTGTAACTATTACTTAATATTGAGTTCTGCAAAATGAATGCTCATATGTAGCTGAATACTTCAGATCTGAGAATGCTGATTTAACATTTCTTAAATACTGCAGCATCAAAAGGAAAAAAAACAATTTATATGTATTCACTTATCTAATGGGGTGCCATCAATTAGGTTAGGCTAAAATATAGAACTGGAATCCTTTAATCTGTATTCTTACTGGTTAATATTGGCCTTATTCACTTAAATTAGTGCTGTGTTCTGTAAATGGTCAAGATTATGATAAACTAATATTGATTCCTTTTTCTTCTGGGGAGTCTACAGAGACCACCTTTGCTTTCTTGCAGTAGATATCTCAGTACAATAGTTGTGAAAGTGAATAATTTCCCCTTGACTTCGAGAAAAATAATTTCATAGATGGCCTACTTGTAACAAAATGATTTAATTTTGTCAAGTCCTGTTCTTAAATGCTGCAAACTATCAGTATTTATAAAAAACAAAAACTGATTTTGCACCATGTTGGCTTTTGTTACTCTGACCATAACAAAAAACATCTACTAAATATTTGTAAACAATCTTATTAAAATTGTATCTATTCATCTTATAATTATGCTAAAATCACAACCAACTTATGAGTTGGAGTTTGAACGTTCAAATTCTACATGGCTGAACCTGATTGAGAATGCCATAAAATTGCTCATTGCTTTCTGTCCTCTTACTAATTAAAATTATTTTCAGTTAGCAAGATGAAACCCCTGATTGACATTTTAGCTAATTTTGAAGCCATTGTGAGGGAAATCAGGTAATAGCTCCAAAAAATTGGGTGTTTTCACTCTGGTAATATAAAATGTCTCTTAACATTGTCATTGATCTCTTTAAGGTTCTTAATCTGTCCATTGCAAACTGATTCATATTGTCTCCTGGAAAATAGCAAATTAATCTTACTGAAAATGAGAGATCTCTATTTTTAAAATCATTTCGGTAGGCAGGCAAAATTGGCCATTAGATGGTATTATAGTTCAGCACTAGCAGTCTTATATTTTGGTTTATCATAGTTGAGTGGAAGAAAACATTATTTGCCAAGTTATTCTCCATAACACACAAGGCTTCCACTTTAGAAAAATGTAGAAATGCTAAAATTTATATATGTAAAGAAGTGAAGAAATTTGGATTGGGGTATTGGTTTTTCTCTCTCGGACTGGGAAACAGTGGATATGATAACTTTTTTAACATATGAAAGCATTTGAATGTTGGCGTTCAAGAAAAAAGTTGTATTTAAATTTAAGATCATTTGACATGCTATTCATATTTTAAAAATTCTGCTGTACTGGAAGTAGTTTCTTCTCATCTGCGTGAAGGCTTAAAGATATTACTAAAAGTTATTTAATGTGAGGTTTGTTTTTTTTTTTTTTAAATTATTGATGTATACAGTTGTAATTCTACTTCCATGAAAGTATTTCATTTCTCCTGAGAAAAAATGCATTTCTTACCAGAAAATCTGGCTGGCCCCATAATTTAAATTGAAATAAAATTTTGAAGAAAATCCATTATGTGCTTTATTGTGTTTGAAAATGTCAAGTTACGTGTGGACCTGAACACTCACCTCTTTAGTGCCTTAAAGGAGTACATGCTGCATCACTTCTGAATCATAAGTTTGCAAATGAAACAGAATTACTGAAGGTAGTTAAATCCAAAGCAGACTGTGAAGAGTTACAAATGGATCTCATAAAACTAGATGACTGGGCAACAAAATGGCAGATGAAATTCAGTGTTGATACATGCAAAGTAATGCACATTGAAAAACATCATCTCAAATATACATACAAAATGAGGGGGTCTAAATTAGCTATTACCACTCAAGAAAGAACTTGGAGTCATTGTGGATAGTTCTCTGAAAATGTGTTCTCTGTGTGCTGTGTCAGTCAAAAAAGCGAACAATGTTATGAACCATTAGGAAAGAGCGATAGTAAGACCAAAGATATCATAATGTCGCTTTATAAAGCCATGGTATGCCCACGCCTTTAATACTGCCTGCTATGTCCAAAATATAGATAGATAGATAGAGATCTATATAAAAAAGAAATGGAAAAGATACAGAGAAGGGAGTATGGAACAGCTTCCATATGAGGAGAGATTAAAAAGACTGGCACAATTCAGCTTGGAAAAGAGACTAAGGCAGGATATGACAGAGGTCTACAAAATCATGACTGGTGTGAACAAAGTGAATAAGGAAGTGTTATTTACTCCTCATAACACAAGAACCAGGCATCACCCAATGAAATTAATAAGCAGCAGGCTTAAACAGAAGGAAGTATACTTCCAAAAATGTACAGTCAACCTGCTGAACTCGTTACCGGGGATGTTCTGAAGGCCAAAACTGAGTCCAAGTTAAGTTCATGGAGGATAGGTCCATCAAAGACTGTTAGCTAAGATGGTCAGGGATGTAACCCCAGGCTCTGGGTGTCCCTAAGCCTCTGATTGCCATATGCTGGGGCTGGACAGAGAGAGGATGGATCACTTGAAAATTGCCCTGTTTTGCTCACTCCCTTTTAAACGTCTGGCAATTTGCACTGTTGGAAGACAAGATATTGGGCTAGTTAGACCATTGGTCTGACCCAATATGGCAGTTTTTATGTTGCGTTCTTATAAAAGAATAATCCTAAGTGGCACTTTCAAAGCCATTCTTGAGAAAGGTGCAAAGGAGTGCTGTACAAAAGACGCAATAACTGATTTGTATTTGCAAATGGCGGCCTGGTTTCTCTGATCCTTTGATTGTTACAAACTTAGGGCCTGATCTAAAACCCACCGAAGTCAATGGGGGTCTCAGGCTTTGGACCAAGCCTTTAGTGTTAATTTCAGCATGGAGTTAACAATTATAAGCCATGTATCGGGGTAGCCATGTTAGTCTATCTACAAAAACAACAAGGAGTCTGGTGGCACCTTAAAGACTAACAGATTTATTTGAACATAAGCTTTCGTGGGTAAAAACCTCTGGAGAAGTGAGGTTTTTACCCACGAAAGTTTATGCCCAAATAAATCTGTTAGTCTTTAAGGTGCCACTAGACTCCTTGTTGTAATTATAAGCCATGTTATGTATATTGTTTGGATATTCTCTGGAGACAATTTAGGGTTTATTTTCACTGAACTCATCACTTCTTATTCCTAATTGGTTCTTTGCTTTTTGTACTCTCTATTCCTAAACATTTTTTGCTTTTGATTATGTCCATTTTTCATGCCTACCACTAGCAGTTAGAGGAGGCTGACTTGCCAGTCTACTAAATCAATGCAATACAAATAAAAATTGCAGGGTTTTTGATGCAGATATATTTGGCTATTCTCTTTAATTATTGGAAAATCTATTTTTATATTGTTTTTTCCATGTGCAGCATATACATGTCACATTAAAAGAATTATTCAACGTGTTAGCTCTTGGTCAACAATCTACATACACATGATCCTTTTAGATTATATTGGTCCAATTTTAGGATCAAGCTTTTCCCTTAAAATACAGTATATTATAATGCTTTATAGATTAAGATCACAAATTAAAGGAATGACCTTTAAAAATGGACAGGTGTCCTCTTAGGTGCCTGGATGAAAATTTCCATTTAAGTATTTGGATGAGATAGCTAAGGGGGGGCGGGAGAGGACAGGAGGTTGAGGTTTTTGTATTAATTTAAAATGTGTGTTCTCCACAGATTTTTACTGAATGAATTGCCTTATGGATTGGAATCACTAAGAATCAGAATAAAAGTTGCATGGAGCACATCACAAATGTGAAGCTTGTTTCTGATTATTTCATAGGTAAGAAACTTTCTAATATGGATGTCACCCAAGTTTTTGGATACACAGTGGTTTTGTGCATTTGTCATACATAGCCTCGGCCAAACTTCAGTATTTACTACTTCATTGGGGAAAAAAAGGCCCTTTCAACGAAAGCCTAGTTAGACTCACTCAGGATTTTTGTTCTAGTCTCCTGCTTTTTCCAGTCCTTAGCTGTTCACTATTTTTATTAAAGTTCTAGAGCAGTGGTAGTGGTAGCTGAATGGCAAGTCTTCTGTCCCTCAGTGGTCAGTATGTGCCACTGCCTCAGTGACCAAAACCTACATTTAATAATATAATATAAATGTACATTTGCTCTGAATTTGCAGCCTGTGAAAGAGCTCCAGTATGGAGATTCATCTGGACTTTCTCCTGCTGCTATTCTGGCTCTCAGCCAAGGCTATGTTCTGCTTTCTCTGGGTTGTCCTTTATTGTAGACCAGTGGAATCCAAACTGGGGGTGCACCCCGACAGGGAGTGTAAAGGAAGATCGGGATGGCCCCCAGAGGGGGTAGGGAGGGAGCACCACCCAGTCCTGACATGCCCCCAGCTCTGCCCCGGCCCTGGCCCCGCTCCCGGCCCCAGCTCTGCTCCCAGCCATGGCTCAGCTTCCAGCTGTAGTCCGGTCCCGGTTTCCGACACTATAAAGGGGATATGGGGCATGCTTTTTTGAGCACTTCAGCATGTTGTAATTCAAGGTGTTAGCATCCATAGGTAAAATATTTGTAATGTCTATTTGAACAGTACCTCTTAAAGCAGTGATCCCCAAAATGTTTCTGTTGCGTCCCTCCTTTCCCATAATGGAATCTGTCCGCGTCCTCCTGGGAGCCAAGGTCAGCAGCTGGGAACGGAGATGTGGTCAGGAACCTGGGCCGGAGCCGGGGCTGAGAGCAGAGCTGTGGCAGGGAACAGGGCCCACAGCTGGGGCTGGGATCCGGGGCCGGAGGTGCGGCTGGTGCCAGAGCCAGGGGCTGAGGCCGGAGCAGGCCTGGGGGAAGAGCCAGGCAGGCCTGTGCTTCCTCCCTGCCCCAGTGGGGGCTGGCTCGGGCTCCACTGCGCCCCTCTGAACATTCCTCCTCTCTCTCTTCCTCCCCCCCCCCCCGTTTGAGTATATCTCTTGCCAAGAGACTGCTGCATCCAACAATGTGACATTGTTCCTATCCTAAAACACATCGAACATCATTAATGAGTTAGCACAGCATACATCTGAAGTATGAGGAAGACCAAGTGAAAGCTCAGCTTGTGAATGACAGGATACTGGGTTTTGCTGTTTTACTAACCATCACAGGGAAGGCTTCAAAGTAGAGAGCCAGAAAATACCCTCAGAATTTGTGCCCAGAAGCTTTAGTCAGGAGCAGAATGGTTGTTTTTAATCTGCCAACTGCAAAGTTCTTTGAAGCAATGAGATTTTAACTCTGCCAAGGCTTCATATACATCTCTACCCCGATATAACGCTGTCCTCCGGGGCCAAAAAATCTTACCGCGTTATAAGTGAAACCGCGTTATAGCGGGATAGAGGTGTACTTATAGTTGGAGGATCAGATCTGTTCTAGCCTATCAACCTTTCAGGACAGTGTCCTATGGAAAGCATACCTTAGAATCTATATGCAAGAAATTCAAGAAATAGCTCAACTGGACTCAGTGAAAAGAGAAACATTATTTTCTCAGGTTCTTGCGCAATATTGTCCAGATTGGAAATGTATTGCATTTAGGTGCCTTTATGCATAGGTAGTCCACAGTGCAAGAATATTCTTCTCATGTTATTCTGCATTGCTAAATGATAACTGCAGGAATGTAAAACCAGGCAATTTGTGTCTATGAAGATTGCTAGAACTGAATGAACTTCCAAGTGAACAAAAACTTTCCTGAAGAAGCCATTCCAGAACATTTAACTGGTTCCAAAATACAGACAATTTTAATAAAAGCAAGTTATTCACAAATTATTCGTAGCCTTTTGAAATAGTTCAAAGTAAAGTTCCCACAAGCTAACATTGTAAGTAGAAGTTCTTTGTGTCTTCAGGTGTGCAATGAAAACATGTCTAGCACCTTATAAAGGATTGGTTGATAGTGACAATTAAAATCCAGCCTTACTTATAAATCAGAACCTATTGGCTCCTATTAATTCTGATGAATCTTTTCTGAATTTCCTACCATGCAGTTTTTGAATTCGATATCTTTCTGGTATAGTGATACCAAGTTTATACTACAGGTGTGGTCTTGCCAGAGTAATACTGAGAGAGACTTGGTTCTGTTTTCATATTCTGCCTCTGTGTAGGCAGCTCAAAATTGCCTTGGTCTTTTTGTGCTGCCATGTCACATTGTAGACTTATTAGAAGACAAAAAAATTTGAAATCCTATATTACTTGGCATTACTTTCTTTGATATTGCTCTCTCCCATTCAACATATGTTTCATATTATTTTACCCAATATGTTAATTTGTATCTTTCTAAGTTGAATCTTTTAATATTTGTTTTTTTGGCCACTGTAGTAGGTCTTAGCCGGGGCTCGACCCTTCCGTGCAGGAGGGGAGCCACACCGACTCACTACTGTGGGAACAAGCAGTCAGTTAGTCCCGAAACTCTGGCTCTTTGGTGCAGGGCCGGAGCAACCACAGTTAAAGCTCAGGCCCTTGACTGCACGGGCGGAGCAAACACAGTGAAGCTCAGACCCTTGACTGTAGGGGCTGCGCGAGCCAACAGTTCAGAGCCCAGGCCCTGGATC